AATAGAATCAAAAATGATTTGATTGTTAAAAGTGGGTAATAGTCACTAACACCATAATGCCGTTGTAGAGCATGTAACGGGGTGATTTAAGTTTGTTAATCGAGGTGACTGCCCAGTAGAGAATTTCAAAGAATTATAAGTTTTTATAAAAATATGATATATCGTCTTTAAATATTTTCTGAAAATGCCTCGGGAACCAACTATTTTATTCCTTCCGCTCTTTCTCATATCCATCTTCAAATTACTTGTTTAAATAAATAAATATCTAGTGTATTATTGTGGTCTCCATCATTTATTATTGAAGCAAAAAGTCGTTCTAAATATCCCGCTTATTCATTCGTAATTTTTCCGTTCATTTTGTAAATCGAAGTAGTTGAAATGACTTTTAATTCATTTTTCGTGAGCGCATATAACGTAGGTTTGCTCAGCGTTCTGTCTCATGACGTGGTATATACCAACGCGATTTGCGGAGGCCCTGCCAACCTCGTGTCGGCCAGTGCGAGGAGTGTAGAACTCTGTGGTTGTTATAGTTGTTTTCTGTTGTTATTGCTTCTCTCGCTGCCGATACTGCTATGGTCGTCTATTCTATCGGTAATAATTAATTAATTAACGGACGAGAGAATGGAGAGTACGAGTGAGTGATGGAATGAGAGAACGAGTTAATGTGAGGAAAGTCCTGCGAATATTTCATTCGTTTCCTTCAAGTCTGTCGTCATTAAATATTTTCAGATATCTCTTATTTTATCGTGAAAGGAAATAATTTTTCTGATCTATAATTTCATTTGTTTATGTTATTTTTTTACCTTTAGCTCGTATTTGTTTCTATTTCAGTAACTCAATTTCATGCAATCATCAACAACTTTGAACACAAATCGCCATTGCTAAATTCGGCATTGGAACAACTTCATAATTGAAATGTTCATGAGGTATTGTTGACATGAAAATAATAACGTTGTTTTGCATTGGTTTTACAAACAAAAGGATTATAACTTTAAAAACGAGTAGCTTTCAATATTCAACCAAGATTGTCAGATCTGTCGTCTGGAAGATACGAGAATAAGACTAGAGGAATAAAACAAGTCGAATTGTAACTCCCAAACGATCCATCTGAACAGGATCGTGCAGTAATAGAATGTCACTCGTCATAAAAACGATAATGAGTTTGAAAAAGATTATGTCATCTTGCATTACTATTTCAAAATTCAAATTCTTGAGGTTGCAAGACACATTGATTTTCAAAATTTAGCTTCCTCGTAAATATCACTATTAGTGAAACAACTCTTTAAAAATAAAATGTGTACCATTATATACTATTAAGGTAGTTTAATCATATAAAATGTTATTTAAAGATGTGTTTATGAATATAATATATACAAGTACCTAACTTCTTTGAGGTTAATCATTTCGGTATATAACCCACCAACCACATTTCATGAAACAATTTCAGATACTTGAAATTAACACACACCAATATTGCAGACCACAAAAATAGATCAAGAATGCATTTTGAAGAATAAATAAACATGTATATAATATGTTTCAGTAATTCATCTTCAACATGAATTTCAAGATATCAGCTGAAACGACTAAGAAATTATAAACATGTTAATACATCACAATGTCCGTATAAACACGTAAGAAATTTATTTCCGTAAGAAAAGTTTGAATGTGCATTAAAAAACTACTACGTTGCTCTTCCACGTGACACACAACTACGTGTCTACATCAGCTGTAACACTGCATTTGTAAACTGGATAACAATAAGTACTTAAACAATAGCTTGTAATGGTTTATCATTAAGTAAATAAAATGTTGATACTTCAACGAAATGTCATTGCCAATAATTTGAATGTGATAAAGAAATGTTGGCAAATGGTCGTTTTTCTTACCTTTCGCAGTGACGGCAATTGCTCAATCTGGAATTCTTCGTGTAGGTAGTATGTTAAACTTCACTAAAAGTCACTATGTTTAGTTCTGTAGTTCCTAACACATCATAAATATCGATCTGTAGTGCGGCACAATGTCATCTTGAGTCTCACTGTTCTACTTCAGGGGACAACGCAGACTGACGAACTGTTGAAGAAATGCGGCCAAAATGTGAAACATTGCTCGGACCAATCAGAACGTAGAATTTCCAAAGTCACCTACCGTACTCCTCAGCAAAGTATTTGATCTGAAGTTCTACACTATATCGATTTGCGCAGTAAGCTGTCAAAATTTCCACACTTAACCAAGTAGTATGCATTGAGTAAGACCTTGAGTAATCTTTCTTAACTAGCAACTTGAAACATCTTTTAACTGAAGTTTAAAAGAGAAAAACATTTAAGGGTGAAAACTGAATTTTTCAGTTTTGAGACAATGAAAAGGAGCATGTATGAGAAATTATTTGTGACAATGTTCAGATTAATGATAGGTAGTGTTAAGGACTGGTTCTTAAAATTTTCTTCTATTATCAAGGGGGAAGAAACTCTTTATTTTAAGAATTGGGACATAAAACAAAAATTTTCAATGCCCAAGATTTCCTTTTTTATGTTAGTATCTGATTTGAGAAATACAATTTTCCTCAATTGGTAGTAGTATTTTTATAAACAAAAGAGATACATGTCGTCTACTAACAACCAGGTCATAAAGTTTATTCGGTACTTGGTATGGAAATGCAGTTTTGCTCCCCAACAGTAAAATATGAGGCAAGTGCAGTGCCGTGGATACATTGATATTAATACATTTATTAACAGATGTTGAATGAAGTGTAGTTTTATAAGACAGACTGTGTGTGAAAAAAGCAATTATGTATGCCACTTGTCAATATTTCCAGAATAATTTTGAAGAGAAAGAGTGAAACAACTTTTGCCATATGATTTCGGAGCGCTGCATGGGGTCATACAAATAAAATGGGAAGGTCACTAGCCGCTCTCTGTCGCACTTGCGAAACTATCTACGTTCGTAATGATGTTTACACACTTTAAGTGTTTTCTGGCGTTAAATAATTAAAAAATATCTTCACGGCAATTCCAGAAAATAACTCTCAGATTACAACATTATAATGACGTCCTTAATGCCTTGCACCGTGTGTAGTCGTTATGTTACAAATTTTTCAACTTTTCTATGGAAAATCATTTATAGAACATTAATAAATGGTAAATAATACGTTAAAACCAATAATTTAAAATAATATTTTTGCAATAATGCCGATAATTTTTCATTCAAACATATTCTTCCCCTTGACAAAAATAATTATGCAAGGCAGAATTAAAAAGAAAATGAACTTGAATAAATAAGAAATAAAGAATGTAAACATGGTTCAAATCATGTTGTTAGTTAAAAGAACATCAAGAAAACATATATTTCTATGAATCGACCCTTCGTCGTAGTATTTTGAGCGCTGCCCTCTACACAACTTGTGTGTACAACTTTTCTGGCTTTGGAAGAGAAAGGAAAGCGTAGATAGGCGAAGTTGCCCAGAAGACCGTAGCTCGTGCGGACTCGTGTAATCACGCCTGACCTACAACAACCAGGACTATTCCTAGATTTGAACACAGTTGTTGTTACCACCGTGCTCTGAGTAAAAATTAACACTTTTTTATTTGGAACGGCAATGCCCACAAACTATCACAAGCGACCACTATAAGCTGACCTTGCGAGGCGCGATAAGGCGGAGCTCAAGAGCCGTACTAACTTGACCGAGTGGAAGGGAAAAGAGTGGATACAATTATAGTACTCTGAAGAATGAATTTTTTGAGTAAATTCAGTTTTATTTGAATATCTACTATTGATCTGCTCAACAAAACCACACAAAATTGTTTTCCAGAACATAGCACACTCAAGAACAAATAAAATAATCTCGTAAAACACTCCCACTGAAATGGTTGGTTACCGAGTTTTCTTTCAATTTTTGCATTGGATGTTAGTAATACAGATTTCTTAATTATATTTTCGTGTCCGGCGGTTAATCATTCTGAAGACATTCACTGGCAGATTGGAATTGAAAGCCGTGTCTTTATTCTAGAACTTCACGAACCATAATTTTGAACTTACATGTTTTATAGAAGAGGATTAATATAATACATTTTATCGTGTTAAAAAGGGTAGAAATCCAATTAACTAGGATGATAAAACTCCTTGTTGAAAAGCAAATTATTGCTTATATATAAAAACCTTCATAAAACTTGATGTAAATAACAAGTACAGTTTTGTAAATAACAAGTACAGTTTTGTAAATAAAATAAAATGAGATTGGAAAACTTTAAGGTTATAAGTTATTAAAACCTACAGCTCGCTGATAATGACATACTAGTACCTATTCGTTTTCTCAATCTCTTCTCTCTTGTCCAATTTTTCCCTCTCAGTGGCTGCTACCGTGATTTACTATTGCTACATTTCCCCGCTGCGCCATTTTGTCACGTCAATTATTCAATATTAGGCAAATATATTTCAAATTCACCTAATTTGATTAAGTGGCATTTTATACCATATTATTTCCGCGCTATCCAAATCTCCAGTTATCTGAAATAAAAGTTGGTCACAGTACAGACAACCTCTACCGCCTGCCTTACACGTACCTTCCCATCTAATACTTTCTTACACGAGCCTTTCAAACCCAGATTTACGGACAAGGAAAAGAAGCAGTCGATAGCGGCCCACTTCCCAAGAAAAAAATAATAAATTATTCGAAAAAAATCTAAAATGAACTATGTCTGTATCTGTAAAATCATTGTCAATTTAAGTCCACAGTAACAACAAAATTTTGTCTTAAAAAGTAAAATTAGTTCTTAATATTTGAAAAACGTTCAATTAGTCCTCTATTAAGTATTCATATATTTTTTGCTACAGAATGTGTAAGCCGAATTCACAGTGATGCGCAGGTAGTAGATCTGGAGGATATTGTTATTTGTCCTGAGGGGGATCCCAACACGATTTTGTGCTGGGGGAGGGGTTCAGTTCTTAAAAACCGACCCTAACACCAATCACATTCAGTCTTAAAGTGGTATTTTCGCGGTCACCTGACGCGCTGCCGTGGCACAGCGGTATGGCCTCTCGATACGAAGCCCGCATGGGCCGGCGGTGTTATCGGCCTGTTCTGCCAAAGGCCACGCGTACATGTAATAAAAAGTAGCACTGCGCAGTTGCAATGCTAACGTTGAGTGCTCACCTGGTTCTCCGTCGAGGTCCCTGAAAGGAGAATTTAAAATTCATATTCACACAAAACCTATCCGATGGTAATAACTTACACATTTATAAATCTATGTTTACGCCATTTTTATACCACCACATCGTTGAGTCATCTGTTTTCCACTTGGCTTACAAGTTTTGTCTTTCGACGATATTTCAAAAATACAAAATGCAAGTCTTTGAAAGGAATTTTCTCATAGCAGAAGAAAACGTGTAAACTAAAACAGGATCTCTCAACCTGCCATTTATCGAAATCATTTGTGTTGTATTTAACATTTTGGCAATTTACTCGTTTTTGCCTGTACCCTCACTTATTCGATGGCCTTTGAGCATTTCAGTCAAACGTAAAATAGTGGTGGTATGTACGCACCTCGCATTATTTCTAACTTTTGAAATTTTCGAACATTCAAGAGTTCGTCGAATCTGTGAAAACAATTTAAAAAATACTTGAACAGGTTTTTGAAAAACAAATTTCTATAAATTGCATTATTTTTAAGCAGAAATTACGCGAACACAGCTAAATTTTTTAAAAAGGTGCACAAACTTCTTTAAAAATTGAAGCCGTTTTAAGAAAATAATTGTTTAAAAATTGTAAAATTCCGCTGAAACTACTCACATTCTCGACAAGTTGTACATGTCCTTATTTCAAGATCTGTCATTGAAGAACAAGTTTTATCAAGGAAAAATATCTTTATCATTTATATTTGTAGAAAAGACGCCGAAAGAATATGAATTTTGGCAATTTTCAAAAAATTAAAGATTTAAATGAAACTGAGACTTTTGTAAGAAAGGATACACAAACAAGTTCTGACCGAAGTTACAATTACATAGAGTACGGGCCCTACAATTACATAAGGCCCTATCAGATATTCTTTAAAGAGTGTTTTACGCTTTCTGAGGACCAAATTTAATAACATATTTGGAGATATTTTGAGAAAAGTTTAAAAATATTTTTGAGGCTTAATTTTAAGTACCTCCAAAAATTAAAATATCAGTTTCAAGCATGCAAGACATCGAGTTCGTTTAGATTGATTAGAGAATTTCAATTTTGACGACGAACAGATGAAACATCGGACAGACCGAGGTTTTGCCGTCAATCGATTTTTCTATATCAATGTTTCCAAAAAATGAATTCAAACTATCCAAAGTGTTAGAAAATGTTTATTGCATACATGAACAAAACTTATCTACTTTTTTGTTACCTGGGACCGTCAATTACAATTTTTTGCACAAAATCGCCGGATTTGCACAGCAAGAAACGAGTTGAAGGAAGACGTTTGTTGACGGGCGGCCGGGATCAGAGCGTGAAAAGCAGAGGTCAGAAGTGTATAAGAAGCCAGGAAGACAGACGTGAAATGACGACAGGAACAGAGAAAACAGGATAGTGGACAGATTTTTGGGAGAGGGGTGTTGGGGAGCGAGCATTGCAGGGAATGTTCAGGAGGTTGAGCGACTTTCTTGGGGGCAGGACGACGTGGAGCGGAGAATGCATGGGATTGGGCAAGCCATGGAATGGGAAAAAGGAGGGGCGGGGAATACGTAGGTCGGGGAAGGTGTAGATTGGAGAAGGCGAGGAGTATGGAAGGCGTGGGGTGTGAAAGGCGTGGAGTGTGGAAGGCGTGGAATATGGAAGGGTCCACGCCTTCACGTTCCACACTCCACATTGCCTTCTCACTTAACGCCATTCACATCCACGCTTTCAACCTCCACGCCTTCCCACTCCCGCCTTCAATTCCACGCCTTCCCACTCCGCCTTCCGTTCCCAGGCCTTCCCCCATTCACGCCTTACCACTACGCTTTCCAACTCAGCCTTCCCACACTCACGCTTCCACATCCAGCCTTTCCAACACTCCCGCCTTCCCATACGCTTCCAACTCCCGCTTCACACTCCACGCTTCAACCCCGCCTTCACACCACCTTTCATCAGCCTTCCACACTCAGCCTTCCACACTCACGTTCCACTAACGCTTCACATCCAGCTTTCATATCACGCCTTCCACTCCTCCACGCCTTTCAACCCCACGCTTCATACTCCACGCCTCTCCAACTCCCTTCACTCACCGCCTCCACACTCACCTTTCACCACTCACGGCCTTCCACATCCGCTTTCACTCTCAGCCTCCATCTCCACTCCTTCCATATTCACGCTCTCACATCCAGGCTTCACACCCACGACCTTATCTATATTCACGCTTCCACACTCACGCCTTCACCACCACGCTGTTCCATATCCACCCTTTCACACTCAACGCCTCACATCCCGCCTCCCACTCCACGCCTTCCACACTCCGCCTTCCCCACTCCACGCTTCCACACTCAGGCTCACACTCCACGCTTCCCATCCGCCTTTTCACATCACGCTTCCAACTCAACGCCTTCCATTCACGCCTCACCACTCACGCTTTCCACCCACTCCTTCCACCAGTCCACGCCTTCCACCTCCACGCCTTCCATATTCACGCCTTCACACTCCACGGCCTTTCACACCCCCGCCTTCATATCACGCCTTCCACTCAGCCTTCCCACTCTCACCTTCCACTCCAGCCTTCACAACTCCCAGCCTTCCTTATTCCACCCGTTCACACTCCCACGCCTTCACACTCCCACGTCCCAACTCCACGCCTTCCACATCCACGCTTCACACTCCACGCCTTCTCACACTCCCCGCCTTCCATATTCCACGGCCTTCCACCTCCACGCCTTTCACACCCACGCTTCCTACTCACGGCCTTCCACACTCCCGCTTTCCACATCCAGCCTTCCACACTCACGTTTCCACTCCACGCCTCACACCTCACGCTTCACACTCCACGACCTCCCACTCACGCTTCCAATTCACGCTTCCACACTCCACGCTTTCACACCCACGCCTCAGGCCACGCCTTCACACTCCACGCCTTCCATATTCCACGCCTTCCACACTCCACGCCTTTCACACCCAGCACTTCTACACCCACGCCTCCACCTCACGCCTCCATATTCACGCCTCCACACCTCAGCTTTCACCAACCCGTTCACACCCCCACCTTCCTATCACGCCTTCACACTCCCACCTTCCCACTCCACGCTTCCACACTTCCGCTTTCCACATCAGCCTTCCACATCCACGTTTCACACTCCAGCCTCCTACACACTCCACGCCCTTCCATATTCCACGCCTTCACACTCCACGCCTTTCACACCCACCCTTCACACCCACGCTTCCATATTCCCGCCTTCACACTCCACGCCTTTCACACCCCATCTTCCTACTCCATTCCACACTCCCAGCCTTCCACACTTCCAGCCTTCCACACTCCACGCTCTTCCACACTCCACGCTTTCCACTCCACACCTCCACCACCTTTCCACAAGCCTTCCACACTGCCACCCTTCCATATTCCGCCTCCCACATCTCACGCCTTTCACACACCCACGCCTCCACAGTCCACGCCTGTCCACAGTCCGCCTTCCACACTCCGACGCTTCCAATTTCCACGCCTCCACACTCACGCCTTTCAACACCCAGCCTCACACCGCTTCACGCCTTCACACTCCACGCCTTCAATTCACGCTTCCACACTCACCCTTTCACACACCACGCCTTCCCTACCCTCGCCTTCTCAATCTAACACCTCCCCACTACGTATTCCCCGGCCCTCCTTTTTCCCATTCACATGCTGCCATATTCCATGCTATCTCCGCTCCACGTCGTCCTGCCCCAGAAAAGTCGCTCAACTCGCATTCCCTGTCATGCTCGCTCGCCCAAACCCCTCTCCCCAAAATCTGTCCACCTATCTTGTTTCTCGTTCCTGTCGTCATTTCACGTCTGTCTCTGTAGTCTTCTCTATACATTCTGACCTTGCTTTTCACGGCTCGATCCGGCCCCTCAACAAACGTCTTTCTTAATCGTTTCGTGCTTGCAATCGGCGATTTTGGTGCAAAATTGTATTGACGTTCCAGTAACAAAAAAGTTAGATAAGTTTTGTTTCATGATGCAATAACACTTTTCTAAACTTTGGGGAGTGTTGAATTGCTATTTTTTGGAATCTTGATATAAAAATCATTGACGGCACAAACTGGTCTGTGCGCGATGTTTCATGGTTTCGTCGTCAAATTGAAATTCTTCTAATCATCTAAACGACATCGATGTCTTGCTGCTTGAAACTGATATTTTATTTTTGGAGGTACTTAAATTAAGCCTCAAAAATTTTAAATTTCTTCAATTACTCCAATTATGTTTATAAATTGGTCCTCAGAGAAGCGAAACACTCTTTAAAATATCTGATACGCTTATGTATGTAGGCGCGTACTCTATGTATTGTAATTTCGGTCAGGAACTGTTTGTGTATCTTCTTACAAGTTCAGTTTCATTTATCTTTATTTTGTGAAAATTGCCAAATTTCAGTATTTTCGGCGTCTTTTCTACAATATAAGATGATAAAGATATTTTCCTTGATAAACTTGTTCTCATGGACAGATCTTGAAAAGACAATGTACACTTGTCGAGATGTGAGTAGTTTTCAGCGGAATTTTCAATTATATGATAACATTATTTCTTTACGGCTTCAATTTTAAAGTTTGGTGCACATTCGTTTTAAAAATTTAGTGTGTTGGCGTAATTTCTGCTTAAAATAATCATTATAGAAATTTGTTTTCAGAAACCTGTTAAGTATTTTTTAATTTCTTTCCAGATCGACGGAACTCTTGAATGTTCGAGACAATTTCAAAAGTTAGAAATAATGCGAGTGCTACTACCACACGTATTTACGTGACTGAAACTTGATAAGGCCATCGATAAGTGGGTACAGGCAAAACGAGTAAATTGACCAATTGTTAAATCAACACAAATGATTTCGTAATGCAGGTTGAGAGATCGTTTTACGTTTCACGTTTGTTCTATTTGATGAAAGATTCCTTTCCAAAGACTGCTTTTGTATTTTTGAAATATCGGTCCGAAAGACAAAACTTGTAGCAGTGGAAACGATGACATCAACGATGTGGTGGTTAATTGGCCTCGTAAACATAGATTATATAATCGTAAGTCTTTACCATCGGATTAGGTTTGTGTGAATATGATTTTTAATTCATCCTTCAGGGACCTCGACGGAGACCAGGTGAGTCACTAACAGTTTAGATTGCAACGGCAGTGCTATTATTTATTACTGTACGCGTGGCCTTTTGGCGAAAGGACGGGCATAACACCGCCGGGCCATCGGGCTTCGTATCGAGAGGCCATACCGCTGTTACGGCAGCGCGTTCAGGTGGACCCGCAAAATACCACTTTAGACTGAATGTGATTGGGTGTTTAAGGGTCGGGTTTTTAGGAAACTGAACCCCTCCCCAGCACAAAAAAATTCGTGTGGATCCCATTCAGGGACAAAGATAAATCCAATATCTCCAGATACTACTTGGCGGCATTTTTTTTTTTTTATCCACTTTTATTCTTTCTCTCTTTTTTTTTTCCCCTTTGTGTCATTT